GATAAGACAAATTTATATGCCAAACAATGTTGAAATAACATGTTACAAACCGATAAACATAAAATGTGACAATATTTTAAATTTTAATATATACATATAACTTAATAATACCAACATCGATTAACGTTAAGTCTTTTTTATACTGTATGTAGCGAGCAATTTCTTTTTGAAACCTGCCGATCAACAGGTTTATAAGCAGGCTTGTAACCGACAACGTAATGTTCATTGATGATCTAAGCACGTTCAACCAATCAGAATTAATTACCTGCCAACATACACGTACCGTATTTCGCCATAGAAAGTACCCGGGGTCTCTTACTATCTAAACCGGTTTTTCTTGATTTATACCCCCCGGGTATACTGTATAGCGCCCCCGGGTATACTGTATAGCGGAGGGTATACTATATGGGGGTCTTTTGTAAGGATCATATTATGAAAACAATGAAAACAATATGTTTTTATATGTCATATGTATAAAAACCTCTATTTATCGTACCAGATCTTGTACTAAAAATATAGATTATAGACCTGGTAATATATCCAGTATAAATCAAGGAGTACAGTCAACCAGGGAGTACTCTACAAGGCGAAATATAGTATTTTATATGCCTATTTAGCTGATATTATACAAATACAGATCTGAGTTGTATCAGAGTTCTTCAGAGTCTTAAGCTATCTTTCTTTTTTTGAAAGAAAAATGTAAAAACATCTTATACTTGAAAATAAAATTATTTAATAATTATTAATAATTATTTTATAATAAAGTCAAAAATTTTCTAAGTAAATCAATCTATTTTATTAAGTAAAAGTTGTATATAAGAGAAAAATATATATATTTTAAAATTTTCATCCAAATTGAATAACTTTTATTAATACATTTTTGTATATTACATTTAATGAATTTTTTAAAATTTTTTTATAATTTATATTTATTTGATGTAAAAATCAAAAGTTAAATACTGTAATGTACTATATAAAAAATCTCCCTATATATCAGATCTCCTATAAGCTAGACCCGAGTCTATAATATAGGATAAAATTTTGGTAAAATGTAAAAGACCTGGGTATACAAATAGGAAAATACTAAGAAAAAAATAAAGAAATAAAATAAACTCTCAATTAATATATCCATATCTATACAAAAAATTCTGGGTTAATACTCCTAAGTCTGGTCTGGATCTGGTTCAGTCTGAGTTTAGTTTGAAAACAGACCAGACTTAAACTCTAAATTTTGCTAATTTTAGACTTTAAATCAAACTCAGACTCAATTGTGAGTTCGGTTTGGGTCTGGTCCGAGTTTGAACATATTTATATGTATTATTTAGTGCTAAACAAATTTACTTAGTGCATTAAATTAAAATTAATTAGTAAATTTTAGAGAAATATAAGATTTTAAAAAATTTTATTACAGTAATAAAATTTTATAAAATCTTATAATTTTCAAGATTTTCTAATTAATTTTAACTTTATGTACTAATTAAATTTATTCAGCATCTAAAAATATATTAAATTAGCAGAGTTATTTTTATTTTACTTAAAATTTGGAGTAAAGATGCTTAATTTTAGATTTTTTGATCAAACATCTAAAATTAAGATCTTATTTTCAAATTTCAAGTAAAATAAAAATAACTCTACTGGTTTAATGTATTTTTAAATATTGAACAAATTTAGTTAGTATATAAAGTTAGAATTAATTAATAAATTTTGAGAATCATAAGATTTATAGAATTTATTAATAAAATTTTAAAATCTTATGATTCTCAAAACTTACTAATTAACTAAATTTGTTTAGTACCTAAAAATATATTAAACTAACAAAGTTCTTTTTATTTTATTTAAAATTTGAAGTGAATATGCTTAATTTTAAATTTTTGATTAAAAATTCAAAATTAAGCATCTTATTTCCAAATTTTAAGTAAAATAAAAATAACTATACCAGTTTGATAATTATAAGATTTTGTAAAATTTTATTGATAAAAGTTTACAAAATCTTATAATTCTTAAAACTTTATTAATTAATTCTAACTTAATATACTAATTAAATTTGTTCAGCATCTTAAAATACATTAAACTAGCAGAATTATTTTTATTTTATTTGAAATTTGGAGCAAAGATGCTTAATTTTAAATTGTTTTGATCAAAAATTCAAATTAAACATCTTTGTTTCAAATTTTAAATAAAATAAAAATAACTCTGCTGGTTTAATATATTTCTAGATGCTAAACAAATTACTTGGTGTATAAAGTTAGAATTAATTAGTAAAATTTTGAGAATCATAAGATTTTGTAAAATTTTATTAATAAATTTTACAAAATCTTATGATTCTCAAAATTTACTAATTAATTCTAACTTCATGCATTAAGTAAATTTGTTTAGTATATAAAAATATATATAAATATATTCAAACTTAGACTAGTCTGCAGACTTCAGATCAGACCTAGACTAAACTCAGATTTGATTAAAAAGTTTGAATATAAAAATTTGAGTCTGATCTAAAAATCAGATCAGACTTAGACTTGACTAAAGTCTGGTTCAAGTCTGGTCTATAGAAGTACTAGTATATACTATATTATAAAAATTAACAATAATCAAATAAAAGAAAATAATCAAGAAGTTACTTTAAAAAAAAATTAATAAATTCTAATTTTAAATTATTTTAATTTTTTTTTAGTAATAAAATATAAAATATTTTTTAAACTAGAGATAAAGTTACTTTATATTGTTTAATATTCTCTTATATTTTAAAAAATTATATTATATTCAAAACTCTCTTTAACAATTACTTGTACCAAACTTACAACTAACAAAAACAAAAACTTGTTGAAGAAAAATAGAAGAAACAACTATATAAATAATAATTTTTATAGAGATTAAGGTTATCAGATCTTTGCCAGACTTTCTTGTATATTTAGCATGCAAGTTAAAAGCATTCCTATACAAAATAACTGACAAGAAGATGGTGTTCTTATATAAAAAATTTTAATAGAAGCATGCTTCTGTTGATAAAGTTAAAGGATAGTTAGTTTAAAAAAAGACAACAAGTGAGTTTTAATATACTTCTTATTGAAGTTTATAGATACCTGCAAACTGAAACTTTCTCCAACATTCTACTCTTTGCACTTTATGAAATTTCATCAAAAAGTAAAAAATATAGTATACTTTTATCAAAAGATCAATAATAATCATTGCTGAAAAAGAAAAGACATATATATATATATTTGCTTTGGAATAATAATGTTAATCAATCTTCTACTTCTAGAAGTATGTAAACATTGTACTTCAACTTAATTTATGTTTGTATTTCATTTATATAAAAAGTAAAGTCAATTCTAATATAGATGTGTAGCTGCCAGCCTGTAATCAATAAAAAAAAAGTTCTTAGTAAGTTTCAGATTCAGAGAGAGACCAAAGGCTATTGAGGCAAATTACATCTAAGCATTTGTAGCTCTGAGTAAGCTGTTTGTTTGGTTAGATTAAATATATTATAGTTAAGGTTACTTGTAATTCTACATTAGTTTAATCTTAAATAAAAAGAAGCAGAATATAGCTGCATTTAAAAAAACAAATTATATAATATTTTAAATATATAATAATTTTTAATTATTTAAAAAAAATAAATATAAACAATTTAATTTTTTTTATTACTTTTGTTAAAACTTTTAATAAAACAAAATCAAATATCTTCTTTATATTTTTAAGTACAGTATTATCTATAATTTTTTTTTATTATTTTTTATATTTTTTAAAATTGTATTAAAGAATATAAACTATCTTTTTTTGTAAAATTGTCTAAAAAACTTGCAAAATTAGAATTTTTTAATATATTTTTCTTACTAATCTTGTTAATATTTTAGTTGTATACTTGCAGATAGTATTTCTAGCCGATAAAAATTTTGCTAGTTAATTAGTTGCTAACTATAGTTGCAACTAATCGATTTTTTATATTATGTAACTAAATTTTTCGATTAACCAATCAAACTAAAGAAATCTACACGGATTAGCCCGACTAGATGGAGTATTTCGGAATTGAACGAGTTGATAATTAATTTGTCAACTAGTTGAGTTTCAACTAAACGATTCGGATCACTACACTCGATATACTCCCGATGCACTTTTGACACATTAAACAAGGTAGGACAGCTGTTAAAAATCGAAAAGACCCCGGCTTTTTGAGACAAAGACTGGTCCGGACCGTAAAATCCCTAATTTTGGCAAACAATTTAAGTAATTAATTAAAATCACAGGAATCGATAACAAATCACTGAAAAGCATTTTAATGGTAAAGGTATTAATTTTATTTTTTAAGTCTTGTTCTATTAAAAGTATAATGGATGTTTAAGTTTGGTTATTATGTGAAACTTTGTGAATTATTGATTATTAAAGCGGCAGTTCGTAGTTGAAGGGTATAAATTCATAACAAAAATCGTCGGAGAATTACTATTATTTAATGTTGGAATGACGAGTTTCTGGCAGTATATAAAAATCATATAGACATGAAGAAACAATTGAAAATAACGCGCGATCTAATAAACCGACTTTAATAATTCCACCATTATTAGAATTGTAATAATTCGCTCTATAATATTTGGTAGAAACTTAGAGGAGGGTTGCTTAGCTGGAAAACTTTCACTGCAAGCTAATTGCATTCCAACTTTATAGAAAACTATATCAATTTCCGACAATTTCTACTATTAAATTTATACACTTTAATCGTAATTTACCTTTCAAATATTTTAAAATTTTCAGCATCACATAAAAATTCAATTTAACAATCTTCACATTTTAAAGAGCAAGGAATGCCAAGTTTAAACAAAATTAAGCTATTATATCTATATTCTTTCAATGAATTTCTAAAGTTAATTTTGGCATTTACGCCTAATAATACAGTTTGGGGGCATAATAATGCACTTGTTGGCTCTAGAATATATTATACAGGTGGTGTAATTCCAAATGCAACAATTTGGAAGAGTGTTATAGACTTTTTTAATACACCAAATCAAATGGCCACACAATCAAAAGAATTTTATTACTTAGATGTATCAACCAATTTTAAAATAAATGGTATAATACCTTGGGTTGATCTTAGTTCATCATCAATTCTTCCACCCCATTCTTGGAGTGCATTTTCTCTTTGCGGACCTGATAATAATACATTGGTAATGTTTGGTGGTGATTTTGGTATTACGAATCCTACAAACTTAGTTTTCACTTATAATTTAAAAACATTACAATGGAGCAATCCAGTAACCTCCAGCCAACCTTCAAATAAACATACACGTTCAGTTTGTGATTTTAGAACCGGAAAAATGTATATGTTTTCCGGAACCATAGACATTTTAGATACAAAAACATTAATGTGGAGAATTGGTAGTTCAATTGGAGCACCATTAGGAAGATTTGATTACACAGCTACTTTATTACCGAATGGTAACATTGTCTACATAGGTGGTGTAGATTCTTCTGGTGTGGTAAAATTGTTAACGGTAAGAATTGAAATAAATGAATGAGTGTTGGTGATTATTATTGATCTCGTTTCCTTTTAAATAAAAATTAGATACCTCTTTATAATATTAATAATGACACGTGGTCTTCGATGGTAGGTTTTGTTATCGAAAGAATTAAATGGTTATGAGATTTAATTTATGGTATTTATATATATTAGACTACTACGGGTTATTTGCCTACACCTCGAGGACATCATTCTTCTGTTCTAAGTAATTAAAAAATTTTGTTATAACAGATAATATAATTTTCGGTTAAACAATAACATTTCTTTTTTATAATATCTATATAATAGCGAAAGACGGCCGTATTATTGTATACGGAGGTTATATTGATCGAGGTACATTGGTTCCAGTTCTAGACGATCTTGTGGTGTTAGATACTGGAGGAACGGTTTTTACTTGGTCACAAGCGAATGTTTCTACACTTTCACCTCCTTCACGTTGTTATCATTCAGCTACTTTGGTTGATCATTATATGATTGTAATTTTTGGAAGAAACAATCTTTATCTACCATCACCGACAATGAATGAAGTATATATTTTAGATACAAGTGACAAATTTGATTATAAATGGGTTATTGAATATAAACCTGATGGATCTGTAACAACAATGGATCCTGCTCAAACTACTACTACTAACACTAACGTTGACACTAATATAGCATTAATAGCATCGACCGCAGTTTTAGCATTTTTATTTGTTTTAGCCATCGGCTTATTAATTTTCTTTAGTTATAAAAGAAAACGAAATATTTTATTGATACCTGGTTCTGAAAAATAAAGTAAATATTTTATACATAAATCTATCAGTGTTGTAATTTGAACTATGTCTTAATCTGTTTAAAATATGAATAACCACTGAAATCTATATATCGAATTGATATAGCGGGAAATCTTTATTGGAGGTTCCTGCCGCAATATTTGAATACTACGTATATATACTAAAAAATTTCGAATTATATATAAATATATAGGCAATTATTATTCATACCTTTATTTTTATTATTCGTACCCTAATGCGCAATTTTCGCTAATCATGCCGAAAGTCAAAATACTAAAATTTAATTATCGTTCGCATGATGGGGTTCCAATATTCAAACTTCACTTTTGATTAGCAAGCATTCTTACTAATCATCTGAATATTGGAACCCGACATCACGAGACGCGATAATTAAGTTTTAGGATTGTATGGTTAGCGAAAATTGCGCATGAGGGTACGAATAGCAAAAATAGCGGTATATATATGTATCAGCTCCCTGGAGTTTAAAATTTTATTTGAGTACGTATTATTCCTAAAATCGAACTATATAATTCTAGTTTTTTTTTCACATGAGTGCTGCCAAGGAAAAAGGCACCACGGAGTTTTAATTATATTTTGTACTGGACACGATCTATCTAATTTATTAAAGATCATGTCCCGGTACAAAATATAATTGAAACTCCGTTGTGCCTTTTTCCTTGGCAACACTTATATACTTTGCTATATATAGTAGCATAGTATTTTGGAGGTCCTTGTTTATGTAAATGCAAAAATACCATTCTTGATGGATCCAATTTATATACCGTTCTTGATAGGGTTCTAACAAAAGACTTCTAAAATATTATGCTACTATAACAATGTATATGAACGCTTTCAAGAAAAACCTGTCATTGACCCAGTAAACAAACTGAGCATTGAAAGCCCGATGACAGGTTTTCCCTTGGCAGCAATCATAAAAAAAAAAAAAAAAAAAAAAAAAATCGAATTAGGATTGGTTTTTAGAACCCTATCAAGAACAATTCTCTAATTAAAACTCGACGATCCATCAAGAATGATATTTTTGCACCCGATTTGACTTATATTGATTGTCGATCTTTGAATCGTACGAATATAAAAAATCGTTAATGAATTTGATTATATCAGATTAAATTTGTAAGAGGCAAGTAAAGTTAGAGAACAAAAACTTCATTAAGTTTCGTTAGCTATTTATTACGTAAATTATATTAATTAAAATAAGCCATTCCGATTGGCTAATTTTTGTATATCATTTCGTTGTCTGATTGAATAGTTAATTATATATTTAATACAGTAATAACGATAATCATTGAATTTTAACGATTTATTACAAATCAAGATTTTTTTAAAAAAATTTATTTTACATATAAAATAAGAGTTTAATTACTAATTTTATTAAAGCAGCAGCTTTCTAATATGTGTATATAATAAAAAAGCTACAAATAAAAAGAACACCCTAATTAACTTGATTTGTACCCAAAAGATGCAGTGTATCCTAATTTATATCTATACCGATACGGCAATACTTTTGCCATGATTGTACGTAAGTACATGCAATACAGGGTACACAAAAAGTCACCGCATTATAATGCATATTTGCGCAATCTTTGTATTTTTTGATTGGTTAGAAAATTTGTCTATAGAATTTACAGATCAGCATACCGTGATTATCATGACTATTGTGATTATTCATTTAGTCCATATTTAGGATCAATGCAGAGATATAAAATGGCATTATCAATAACGATAACACGTAAACCAAAGTAAAAATTGTTCATACGCGTATTGGTAATCCCTGATGGTAATGTAAGACACTACGTATAATATTTACATAGATAAACAGTTTATATGTTATTGTTAACAAATAATTACGTATTCTTTTACTTACTATGTAATTAGGAGTTAATTCAATATATGACCTAAATTCTACGTACATAAATTACACTCTTGATATCTATATAACCCACTAACCGTAAATGCGTCAAAAAGGTAACCATAAATGCGTCAAAAAGGTAACCATAAATGCGTCAAAAAGGTAACCATAAACTTTGCTCCGCTTTAGCCGACCACTAAATAAAGTATATATATAATGCCAAATGACGAATCTTCAATTACGCACGACGTGTATCATTTCGTATTTTAATGTAGCACATAAAATATAATTTGCTTTAACGGTTAAAGATTTTTTATTGGCTTGAATTGTCAATATTATGGTTTTTTTTCGGTGAAATGATATTTCAAAAAGTAAATTTAACCTGTAATCTAATACCAAACTTCTATAGCATTATAATAATAATCATGCGCTAACAACACACTATCAATTGTAAAATTACTTTACTGAAACTTGCAAATTTGCAACTTTAATGCTACTTGTAATTAGCTATAAAGTAACTATAAAGTAACTATA